GAACAATTTGACCCTGTTTCCCCATCTGGACAATGGGGCCAGTAGCATTTCTGTACTGCACAAGGCATAGTGAGAATTGTAGGCATGACTGGGCATCCATTTTATGAATTCGCCGCAGTGCCTGTTAGATTTTAAATCTAGCAAAGTAGATTTGCCAGTTGGATGAATATATTCCATAGCAATTGAATTGAGGATAAAGCCCATTTTGTTGAGTCCAGGCAGCTTAAGTATTCAAATGCTAGGTTCTGCTATTTCCCAAATCAGGGCACTTGCTTATTCTTAACCAATCAACACGCTTATTAATTCACCAAGGGCCACACAGGTCATGGTAAATCCCTTAGATTTAGAAATCTCGGTCAGATACCCAGTAGGGACTGAACGCAAAATACACGTGCAATCAAGTGAAACAGACTAGCATTGGGCCCAGCTGTTATAGACTTATCCATAAGATTTCTTCCGACATTTACTTCTCATCATCAGTCGTCAATTCTATAGTATTTCTGCTATGTTTATCACCCTCCCAGGAGTACAGTGACTCTTGTCTTAAGGGACTTTGAGGAATTTTTCAAAGCTCTGCTCTAGTTCAAAAGGGGTGTTTTGGGGGTCAGTTTTTGGCCTGTGTTTAGGCTTTGTGATCACATTGGTCCCATCTGGCTTGGAATCCCTGTTCTTGGAAAGGCTGGGTTGGAAAGGGACTAATTTAAGTGATCAAAAGCAATTGCTTGATATTATTAAGTTTCCTCTGGCCAATTGACTTGGCTTTGTAAAGGTTTATCCATATATCACTGGTAAAAATCTAAACAACCAATTCTTGGGTCTGTCAGCAGGAAGAGGCTGGGCTCATCAGGGAATTTGCAGGTGCCGGTTTTTAAAGGCCACAACAAGAGGAACCCAATCTCTGAAATGAAATCTCATTGCGCCTTCTCAGCCCTGGGAACTCTACAGTAGAGGGCGTCTTTCCACACGGCTGGTCTAAATGTTGGTAGCACTTCTGCAGCTGCCTTTGTAGATTCTTCTGCTGAAGCCCTATAACCTTGGAGGAAGGGCGAGTAGGACCAATGGAGGGTGAGCTATCTCTGGGATCCCACAGGGCATCCTCAATTTTATACATCCTGATTTAAGGGCCATTGGAAACCAACCGGCTTCTGATTTCTACTGGACACTTGCTTCATAACCATCAGACTTTGGTTGTTTGCAGTGTAGATAAGAACATAAGAATGGCCACACTGGATCAGACCAATGGTCTGTCTAGCCTGGTATCCTTTCTTCCAACAGTGGCCAAAGCCAGGTGCTTCAGAGGGAATGAACAGAACAGGTCATGTTTGGTCCCAGGACATGTGAAAGACGAGGTGGGTCAGATAACGCCTTTTATTGGACCAACTTCTTTTGATGAAAGAGAAGTTTCAGCTTCTGCACCAGCTCTGTGGAGCTCGAAAGCTTGTCTCCCTCATCGACAGAAGCTGGTCCAAAAAAGGTATCAACTCACCCACCTTGTCTCTCCCTCTCTCAGCTTTTATCTGATTCCTTCTGCTGCTTCCATCTACGTCCAGTAGATGGTGATGGTGTCCAACAAGTATCTTCGATTCTTTCCTTAGAGGGTTTTTAAGTTGTTTTCATTTCAGTGACCGTATTTCCCTGTATTCACCCCAGCTATGAGTTGGGATCCTCCCCCCTATTTTAAGCATTGTCTGTTGATGCTTCGTTGATTTCAGTTCTTTTTCCTTCTCGCACCCAACGAACCCTCTTATGTCTAGGGTGCAAAAGTCCTTCTGAAAGCAAACACAATCCATTATAGTTCCCCGAAACGTAGTGGGCTTTTGGCTAGTTCTAATATCTTTCCTTTCGTACCCTTTGATCTGATGCAGACCAACGCACAGCTCCTAATTGGGGGTGAAAGATAACGGAGGAGCAAACAGATTATCCATGGGATATTTTCCCTAGATTCAGCCATCCTGCTCTTCCAGGACAGTCTTTCAACTTTAGCTGGGCTGAGGTGTCACAAGGCTAATGGTTGTTATGGTCTCTAGTTTCCAGCAGGGGTTCAGAACTAGCCTATTTTGGGGGGATCAGAGGGGAATAGCTTTTCTGCCCTTGAGGACCGAGAGGAACTAATTATTATTAGCCACATATTCTAGGCATACTTCTAACAGGATGTAACCCAAACTGTGGGACATTCAGATACTAACGTGATTCATACAAGTGACTGGCTAAGTATTGGATAACTGGGTTATCTGAGGTCTGCACTAGCTGATTTAATGGTCCCTTTAAATCCATGAATATAAGCACCTTTATGGTTTCCCGCTACCTGAAACCTGCATATGGGCCTTTAACTTCCAAATTCACCGGAGAAATGTCAGCAATTTGTCAGCTGTGAATAAAGGAACTTTGCACATTAACAAAGTGTTGTTTGGTATTGCACCGCCCCCCCCCCCCCAGTTATATGATTTTGTGTGGATTTTTTTTTTAGGGGTAAGAATTGGGAATGAAAGAGGAAACTAAAGGGATTGGCAGTGAGGTGTAGTAGGTAGAGGACTGGACTGAGGGTCTGGACTCCTGGTTCTATCCCCAGCTCTGGGAGAGGAATTGGGTCTAGCGGTTAGAACAGCAGGGTCAGGAGCCAGGACTCTTCAATTCTTTCCCCAGCTCTGGGAGAGGAGTGGAGTTTAGTGTTAGAGCAGCAAGTCTGGGAGTCAGGACTCCTGGGTTCCATGCCACCTCTGGGAGGAGAGTGAGATTTAATGAGCTGTTCCCCAGCTGCCCCACCCCAGAGCTGGCTGCATTTCAGTGGGTGGGTGAACACTTCCTTGCAGATAGTCTACAAAGCCCGACAGTAGAAACGTGTCCATCTCACTACGGTCCCTTTGGGGCAGTTCACAAAGGGTTAAGAGAGGGCAGGGCTGGGGGAGGGATGAATGGAAGTTCATAGCCTGGCCCCGCCCTCAGGAAGCTGGAAGCCACTGGCTGGATCAGGTGCATAGGACAGGTGATTGGGACTCAGCACACAGCTCTGCCACGGAATTGCTATGAGACCTGGGGTAAGTCCTGTCCCCTCTCTACCTCAGTTTCCCCTTTCACCCTGTGTCTGTTCAGACTTTGAGCTCTTCGGGACAGGGACTGTGTCCGTGCGGCACCGGGCACAACGGGGGGGGGGGGGGGGGGCTGATCTCAGTTGGGGTCCGTGCGGCACCGGGCACAACGTGGGGGGGAGGGGGCTGATCTCAGTTGGGGTCCGTGCAGCACCGGGCACAACGTGGGGGGGAGGGGGCTGATCTCAGTTGGGGTCCGTGCAGCACCGGGCACAAGGTGGGGGGGAGGGGGCTGATCTCAGTTGGGGTCCGTGCGGCACCGGGCACAACGGGGGGGGGGGAGGGGGCTGATCTCAGTTGGGGTCCGTGCAGCACCGGGCACAACGGGGGGCCTGATCTCTGCGGAGGGGCTCAGAAGATATGAGTCAGCCACACCTGGCAGGGGGGAGGCTGGAAGCCTCAGACTTTCCTCCCATTCATACAAAGAGCCAGCCGCACAAACCCACTTCCCCGGCCAGAGCCGGTCCCCGCCCCTGCCTCGCCCCGTGTCACAACCTGGAATTTCCCAGCTGGGCCGGGCAGTGGCGGGAGGGGGCCTCTAGGGGGGTGGGGAGAGCAGTGACAGCCAGAGAGGGTGTGTGGGGCCAGATAGATGGGCTGCATGGGACAGACAGAAACTGGGGCAGATGGATGGGTGTTTGTGGAGATGGATGGATGGAAAGAGAGATAGAGGACTTGGGGATGGATAGACAGGGGGGCGGATGGATGGATAGATACATAAAGGGTGGATGGATGGACAGATAAAGCGGTGGATGGATGGATGGAGAGATAGAGGGCTTGGGGATGGATAGACAGGGGGGCGGATGGATGGATAGATACATAAAGGGTGGATGGATGGACAGATAAAGCGGTGGATGGATGGATGGAGAGATAGAGGGCTTGGGGATGGATAGACGGGGACGGATGGATGGATAGATACATAAAGGGTGGATGGATGGACAGATAAAGCGGTGGATGGATGGATGGATGGGATAGAGAGATAGAGGGCTTGGGGATGGATGGATAGATACATAAGGGTGGATGGATGGACAGATAAAGCGGTGGATGGATGGATGGATGGATGGGATAGAGAGATAGAGGGCTTGGGGATGGATGGATAGATACATAAAGGGTGGATGGATGGACAGATAAAGCGGTGGATGGATGGGATAGAGAGATAGAGAGGCTTGGGGATGGATAGACGGGGCGGATGGATGGATAGATACATAAAGGGTGGATGGATGGACAGATAAAGCGGTGGATGGATGGATGGGATATAGAGATAGAGGGCTTGGGGATGGATAGATGGGGGCGGGCGGATGGATGGATAGATAAAGCGGTGGATGGATGGATAGCAGGGTGGATGGATGAAAGGATAAAGGAGCATATGGATGGAGAGCTAGGGGGATGGATGGAGGGATGGGTTTGTGGATGGATGAACAGGCAGGCAGAGGCTGTATGGGCACAGCTAGCCATGGGGCCAGGGTGCAGAGGCCAGTGGAGGGGGCACAGGGCACCAGGCAGGGCAGAAGTAGACAAAGGGGGGCTCATGGCACCAGGCAGGGCAGAGGCCGATTGGAGGGGGGGCTCATGGCACTGGCAGGGGCAGAGGCTGGCGGAGAGAAGGGCACCGGGCAGGGGCAGGGGCTGGCCGAGGGGGGCACCAGGCAGGGCAGAGGCTGGTGGAGGTGGGCACATGGCACTGGGCAGAGGCAGGGGCAGGGGCTGGTGGAGGGGGGCACCGGGCAGGGGCAGGGGCCGGTGGAGGGGGGCACCGGGCGGGAGCAGGGGCAGGGGCAGGGGCCGGTGGAAGGGGAAACCGGGCAGGGGCAGGGGCAGGGGCAGGGGCAGGGGCAGGGGCCGGTGGAGGGGGAAACCGGGCGGGGGCAGGTCAGGGGCAGAGGCCGGCAGACACAAGGGCCGGGGGAAGTGAAACTTCGCAGCAGCTGGAGCCTCCCCCGCCCGCTCGGGGCCCCGCGGGGTGGAGCCGCCGTCAGCGCTTCCGCCTGGCAGCGTCGCCCGCAGCCTGCTCGGGGCAGCCCGGACCCGGGCTATGGTGAGTGCGATCCTGGGGGGGGGTCTGGGAGTCAGGACTCCTGGGTTCTATCCGCGGCTCCGGGAGGGGAGTGGGGGGGAGCGGATGGGGGGATGGGAGGCAGGACTCCTGGGTTCTATCCGCGCCTCTGGGAGGGAAGTGGAGTCTAGGGGGTAGAATGGGGGGAGGGGGCTGGGAGTCAGGACTCCTGGGTTCTGTCCCTGGCGCGGGGAGGGGAGTGGGGGGGAGCGGATGGAGATGGGGATGGGGACGGGAGGCAGGACCCCTGGGCTCTATCCCCAGGTCTGGGAGGGAAGTGGAATCTAGGGGGTAGAATGGGGGGAGGGGGCTGGGAGTCAGGACTCCTGGGTTCTGTCCCTGGCGCGGGGAGGGGAGTGGGGTCTAGGGGATAGAGCGCTGGGAACCAGGACTCCTGGGTTCTATTCCTGGTTCTGCTACGGGCCTGCTGGCTCACCTTGGGCAAATCCCTTCTCCTTGGGTGACTACATTTTCCCATCTGTACAATGGGGAAGACAATCCTGACCCTCTTGGAAGAGCCAGGGATTACGGGTCACACACCAAACTTGTACCCCCTTCATGCGCTCTGGTATCATTCATTATGAGCCATATTATCTTATTTATAATTCACTAGTAGCTATTTATAATTGCTATTATGCCTTGTATAATAATTTAATCATTGTGATTATTCCATTTATTTAGTCAGACTGGTTATATATCATTAGTTACCATTTCTAATTCAACATTATTATGGACTGTATATTTATTGTGAATATTATAATGTGTTTATTATGAGCAATTATTTATGTCATTAATTACTATTTCTAATGCATCGTTATTGTGTATTGTATATTAATTATTATTGATTAAGAATGAGCATATATTTTGTAGTTCATTAATTACTCTCTATAATGCATTGTATATTAATATGATTATTATTTATTTTAGATTTATTATATATTATTTGCAAAAAGAAAAGGAGGACTTGTGGCACCTTAGAGACTAACAAATTTATTTGAGCATGAGCTTTCGTGAGCTACAGCTCACTTCATCGGATGCATTCTGTGGAAAATACAGTGGGGAGATTTATATACATAGAGACCATGAAACAATGGGTGTTACCATACACACTGTAAGGAGAGTGATCACTTAAGGTGAGCTATTACCAGCAGGAGAGCCGGCGGGGGGCGGGGGGGGGGGGGGAACCTTTTGTAGTGATAATCAAGGTGGGCCATTTCCAGCAGTTGACAAGAACATCTGAGGAACAGTGTGGGGTGGAGGGGGGGAATAAACATGGGGAAATAGTTTTACTTTGTGTAATGACCCATCCACTCCCAGTCTCTATTCAAGCCTAAATTAATTGTGTCCAATTTGCAAATGAATTCCAATTCAGCAGTCTCTCCTTGGAGTCTGTTTTCGAAGTTTTTTGTTGAAGAATAGTCACTTTTAGATCAGAAATCGAGTGACCAGAGAAACTGAAGTGTTCTTCGACTGGTTTATGAATGTTATAATTCTTGACATCTGATTTGTGTCCATTTATTCTTTTACGTAGAGACTGTCCAGTTTGACCAATGTACATGGCAGAGGGGCATTGCTGGCACATGATGGCATCTATCACATTGGTAGATGTGCAGGTGAACAAGCCTCTGATAGTGTGGCTGATTTGATTAGGCCCTATGATGGTGTCCCCTTACACTCTTACAACTACAATACTCACCTGCTGAAGTGAAGAAACAGATTGACAGAGCCAGAAGAGTACCCAGAAGTCACCTACTACAGGACAGGCCCAACAAACAAAGGAACAGAACGCCACTAACCATCACCTTCAGCCCCCAACTAAAACCTCTCCAACACATCATCAAGGATCTACAACCTATCCTGAAGACGACCCATCACTCTCACAGATCTTGGGAGACAGGCCAGTCCTTGCTTACAGACAGCCCCACAACCTGAAGCAAATACTCACCGGCAACCACACACCACACAACAAAAACACTAACCCAGGAACCTATCCTTGCAACAAAGCCCGTTGCCAACTGTGTCCACATATCTATTCAGGGGATACCATCATAGGGCCTAATCACATCAGCCACACTATCAGAGGCTCGTTCACCTGCACATCTACCAGTGTGATATATGCCATCATGTGCCAGCAATGTCCCTCTGCCATGTACATTGGTCAAACTGGACAGTCTCTACGTAAAAGAATAAATGGACACAAATCAGACGTCAAGAATTATAACATTCAAAAAACAGTCGGAGAACACTTGAATCTCTTTCGACCTAAAAGTTGCAATTCTTCAAAAAAAAAACTTCAAAAACAGACTCCAAGGAGAGACTGCTGAATTGGAATTCATTTGCAAACTGGACACAATTAATTTAGGCTTGAATAGAGACTGGGAGTGGATGGATCATTACACAAAGTAAAACTATTTCCCCATGTTTATTTCCCCCCCTCCACCCCCCACTGTCCCTCAGATGTTCTTGTCAACTGCTGGAAATGGCCCACCTTGATTATCACTACAAAAGGTCCCCCCCCCCCGCGCTCTCCTGCTGGTAATAGCTCACCTTAAGTGATCACTCTCCTTACAGTGTGTACGGTAACACCCATTGTTTCATGTTCTCTATGTATATAAATCTCCCCACTGTATTTTCCACTGAATGCATCCGATGAAGTGACCTGTAGCTCACGAAAGCTTATGCTCAAATAAATTGGTTAGTCTCTAAGGTGCCACAAGTCCTCCTTTTCTTTTTACGAATATAGATGAACACGGCTGCTACTCTGAAACCTATATATTATTTGTAATTCATTGGTATTACGTGCTGTAGATTAATTATTGTGATTATCACTGATTATTTACAATTCATTAGTTACTATTTATAATTCATCGTTACATACTGTATGTTAACTATTATGATTATTGGGTATTTATGATCAATTATGTATAATTTGGAATTAATAATTTAGTGTTATCTTGCAGTATTATTAACGTGTAATATCTCATCTATTAATTATTATATATATTTTTGTTAGCAGCGCCCAAAGACCCAAGCCAGCACTACAGAAACGTTTGAAACTCAGGTAGGAACACGCGTGCACAGTGATTCTGACCCGGGTTAAACCCACGCCTTTAGCTGGCTCCCAGAATAGCTGATCTGGGTGAGCTGGGAACCATCCGGAGCATGAAACGAAGATCAGAGCGTTTACACTGGAGTCGCTGGGCTGGTTTAGAGCTTGATCCAGAGTTTATTCCCCTTCCTGTCTGGGAAGAGTTGGTTGTGATGCTCGGGTCTGGCGCTCTTTGGTATTCAGACAAGGTGGGCGGTAGCTCAGCGGGGGTACATCGTCATGGCGGAGAGAGCCCAGCGGTCGGCGCTTGCCTTAGCCCAGTGCACTGTGGGAGCCAGAGTCTGTGTCCCTGTTTCCCACGGTCCTTTGCGCTGTGCCAAGCTTCTCCCAGTGCATTGTGGGAGCCCTCTTGGGGCATTATGGGGAGGCACTGCAAGACTAGGGGGTAGCCTGCGTCCCCAATGCAAAATCTAAGCCCCCCCCTCTTCCCCCGGCCAGCCAAGTCTCTTCACCTGCCTCTCACCCCTCCCCTGCCTGCCCAGCGCCCGCATTGCCCACCACCCGCACCCCCGTGAATTAACGATGACCCGTAATTAACCCCTCCACCCTGTGGCCCAGGCAGGCCGAGGTGGGCGCCGTGGCGCCAGGCGGCACCATGGAGATGGGCGCCGCGGCGATGGGGGCGCTGGACGAGTTCGCAGTCCCCGAGGAGGCCCAGGCAGCTGTCACAGAGCAGTGGCCCCGCATCGAGCGGCTCTTCGGCGTGGAGCTCAACGTGCTGGGGGTGCTGGACGCCAGGCAGGCCCCCCCCTGCGCCCCCATGAGCGCCAGGCAGAGCTGGCTGCAGCTGCAGGGCCCCCAGCAGGACCTGCAGAGAGCAAAGGTAACGGGGGGCTGCTGGGTTCTCCCCGACACACCCCCGCCTCTCCCCATGCCCCTGTCCCCCGACATACCTCCATCTCCTTGCGTGCCCGCTACCCCCACACTCCCGTCCCCCATTCCAGCCCCATCTCCCCCCACCTCCACGTCCCCCGACATACCCCCATCTCCCCGCATGCTTGCTACCCCCACACTCCCGTCCCCCATCCCCCATTCCAGCCCCATCTCCCCCCACCCCACGTCCCCCGACATACCCCTGATGCCCGCTACCCCCACACTCCCGTCCCCCATCTCCCCCCACCCCCACGTCCCCCGACATACCCCCATGCCCGCCACCCCCCACTCCCATCCCCCATCCCCAGACACACCCCCATCTCCGCATCCCCCGACACCCCCCATCTTCCTCCACCCCCACACTCCCATCCCCAATCCCCCAATAGCCCCCCACCCCTGCCACCCCCACACTCCCATCCCCCGACATACGTCCATCTCCCCCCACGCCCGCTGTCATAAATATAAAGGGAAGGGTAAACCCCTTTAAAATCCCTCCTGGCCAGAGGAAAAACCCTTTCACCTGTAAAGCGTTAAGAAGCTAGGATAACCTCGCTGGCACCTGACCACAATGACCAATGAGGAGACAAAAAGAAAAGGAGTACTTGTGGCACCTTAGAGACTAAAGATACTTTCAAAGCTGTGGGGGTGGGGGGAAACAAAGGGTTTGGGTCTGTCTGGGTGATGCTTTTGCCAGGGACAGAACAGGAATAGAGTCTGAGAACTTAGTAAGTAATCTAGCTAGAGATGCATTAGATTATGATTTCTTTAAATGGCTGAGAAAATAGCTGTGCTGAATGGAATTGATATTCCTGTTTTTGTGTCTTTTTGTAACTTAAGGTTTTGCCTAGAGGGATTCTCTATGTTTTGAATCTAATTACCCTGTAAGGTATTCACCATCCTGATTTTACAGAGGTGATTCTTTTACTTTTTCTTCCATTAAAATTCTTCTTAAGAACCGGATTGCTTTTTCCTTGTTCTTAAGATCCAAGGGTTTGGGTCTGTGGTCACCTGTGCAAATTGGTGAGGATTTTTATCAAACCTTCCCCAGGAAAGGGGGTGTAAGATTTGGGAGGATTTTGGGGGGAAAGATGTTTCCAAGCGGGCTCTTTCCCGGTTATATATTTATTAGATGCTTGGTGGTGGCAGCGATAAAGTCCAAGGGCAAAAGGTAAAATAGTTTGTATCTTGGGGAAGTTTTAACCTAAGCTGGTAAGAATAAGCTTAGGGGGTTTTCATGCAGGTCCCCACATCTGTACCCTAGAGTTCAGAGTGGGGAAGGAACCTTGACATGGTGGCAGAGTGGTGGGATTACCTTGAAATCATTTTGAGATCAATTTGAGATTTTTTGAATCAGAAGCACAGATTTGAAAAGGAAATATTTTTTTTTCCCTTTGGGCTGCTGGAAAGCAGGTTTTCAGCTGAAAGCAGTTAGAGGTTTTTTTGTCTCTGCTTGGGGGCCAGAGCAGAGACAACAGGGGATTGTCTTTGGTGAGCTGGAGTTTTCTCTACCTAAAGGCAGGGTAGTTAATCTTCTGCAGGGAAATTCACTAGTCTTCAGGAGACTGGAAGAAGTTTTTTTTTTTTTTTTTACCTAAGAGCAACTGGAGGGGTTTTCTGTCTGTTTACCTGGAGACAAAGGTGTTAGGTTTTTTTTTTAAGGATTTTTCTGTAGGCTGACAATCACTGTCAGAGAACATAGGTATCCGGTTAGAGCAGAGCAAAATTTTCTCAGCCATTTAAAGAAATCATAATCTAACACATACCTAGCTAGATTACTTACTAAGTTCTCAGACTCCATTCCTGTTCTGTCCCCGGCAAAAGCATCACCCAGACAGACCCAGACCCTTTGTTTCTCCCCACCTTCAGCTTTGAAAGTATCTTGTCTCCTCATTGGTCATTGTGGTCAGGTGCCAGCGAGGTTATCCTAGCTTCTTAACCCTTTACAGGTGAAAGGGTTTTTCCTCTGGCCAGGAGGGATTTTAAAGGTGTTTACGCTTCCCTTTATATTTATGACACCTGATATCCCCACACTCCCATCCCCCGATACACCCCTTGTCCTCCACTCCTAATCCACCCCCCCCACACCTCCCCATCCCCTCACACCCCCGCAGACCTCCATCCATCTCCTCAACCCGCCCATGCCTCCATTCCCCCATGCTCCTGTCTCACATCCCCCGAAACACTTACCCATCCCCTGACACCCTCATCCATTCCCCCAACCCCCGACATACACCCCCATCTCCCCATCCCCATAAACGCACACCCATCCTCAGACACTTCCCCATGCTCCCAACACACACACACATCCTCCCACACCCCCATTGCCCATGCCCTCTATCCCTCCTCTAATTATCTATCACCATAGACACCCTTCTAGCTAGATATATATTTTTCTATCCCCCATACACCTCTCCATCCGTCCACCTTTCATTCACCCCTTCATCCATCTATCCATCCCTCCACCCTTCCATCCACCCCCCCGTCCATCAATCTATCCGCCCATCCATCCATCCACGGCCCTCCACCCTGTCCATCCATCCATCCATTCATCCATCCATCCACGGCCCTCCACCCACCCACTGGGTCCATCCATCTATCCATCCATCCATGGCCCTCCACCGGGTCCATCCATCCACCCATCCATCCATCCATCCACGGCCCCCCACTGGGTCCATCCATCCATCCATCCATCCATCCACGGCCCTCCACCCTGTCCATCCATCAATCCATCCATCCACGGCCCTCCACCCACCCAGTCCATCCATCTATCCATCCATCTATCCATCCATCCATCCACGGCCCTCCACTGTCTCCATCCATCCATCCATCCATCCATCCATCTATCTATCCATGGCCCTCCACCTACCCATCCACCCACCCTGTCCATCCATCTATCCATCCATCCATCCACAGCCCTCCACCCTGTCCATCCATCCATCCATTCATCCATCCATCTATCCACGGCCCTCCACCTACCCATCCACCCACCCTGTCCATCCATCTAACCATCCATCCATCCATCCATCCTTCCACAGCCCTCTACCCTGTCCATCCATCTATCCATCCATCCATCCATCCATCCTTCCACAGCCCTCCACCCTGTCCATCCATCTATCCATCCATCCATCCACAACCCTCCACCCTGTCCATGCATCCATCCATCCATGGCCCTCCACCCACCCATTCACCCACTCTGTCCATCCATCTGTCCATCCATCCACCCATCCATCCATCCATGGCCCTCCACCCACCCACCCTGTCCATCCATCCATCCATCCATCCATCCATGGCCCTCCACCCACCCTTCCACACACCCTGTCATCCATCCATCCACGGCCCTCCACCTACTCTGTCCATCCATCCATGGTGCTCCACCCATCCATCCACCCACCCTTCCACACACCCTGTCCATCCATCCATCTGTCTGTCCAGCCAAAACTCCTCTCCACTATTTCTAAGCTCTTTGTAAAATGGCCAACCTTTTCTGGCTTTTGTGCAGAAACATAAATCCACCTTCAGACTGTGTACAGTAGCAACCAGTGAGTGTGCGTATAACCGTAACACACTCACCGTGCGTGTGCATGTGTCCCAACCCCGCCTGTGTAAATATATCACATGTGGATACTAACCAACCATGGCCGTCGATACTGATCACAAACCAGCAGGGGTGCAGAGCACAGCACGATGTGTGTGTGTGTGGGATGTATCACAACCGTGAGTGTGAGATAACACTAACGGGGTTTAATACACATACAGCCCCCACCCCCCTTGTATCACAACCTTGCATGCGGGTGTGTTACAATTCCAAAGGGATTCAGTCCCTAAGGAATTTAACACCCCCGTCCCCAGTGTGTGTGTGTGTGTCCCAACACCTTGTGAGTAGGTTTCACACCATCTTGTGTGTATGACAACTCTGGGTGTAGCTCCACCAACATCCCGTGTGTAGTTCAACCTCATGACTTTGCTTCTCTCTGTGTTTACATTTGGTAGCTAACTCATATCATCTAAACCTCCCCACACCTGTCTCTGCCCTGAGTGAATTTCGATACACCCTGCATCTTCAAGATTGTCACTCACTCCCTGGGTTCTGCACCAGTTGTTCTAACATTGAGTTTCTGCCTCTTCCCACCATTCCTTGCCTCTGAAATCGATTGATGAATTTTTAACCAGTATTTATGCAGTCTGGACCCCACCATAGTCAATGGGGCCAGATCCCAGCTGGAGTCAATGGGTCGTATGTCCATTGGAGTCAATGGGGCCAGATCCCAGCTGGGGTCAATAAGCTGTCGCTCTATTGAAGTTGGTGTGAGCAGATCCCCAGTCGAGTGACACTGATTCACAGCCCATTGGGGATTTGGTCCTGTGTTTATATCCCTTTGTTCTTCAACGGTTCAAGAGTGTGGTAGCAACCTCAGAGCAAACTTAGGAACCAGGCACAGAGCCCAGACTGGCTGGGAGTTCTGTGCTTAGATGTCACCAATCGATTCTCAAGTGTGAACTCCTCAGGCACGATCACACCCTTAGCATGGAGTCACAGAGAGTTCCCCTAGGGTACCCCAATCTGTCTCAGCACCCGGGGAGCCTGCCTTTGTGACAGATGGTCCCTTACCCCAAGAATCACAGCAATATTCAGCTTCCTCCCAGCTGCAAAGAACTGGTCACTTATCCTAGGTCAATCGCATCTTAGAACTCATGCCAAAGACAACCCTTGTAGTCAATCCTATAATAGACTATATCCAGTTTTATTACATAGGAAAAGGAAACAAGGGTAAAGCAGGTAGACACATGCACACCAATGAGTTCCAGGCTAGGTATCAAAAAGTAATAGACATTTCGATAAGAAGCCAGCTCTATATGTCCTCCAGGGCTAGCCCAGGCCAAGCACTGGGGATCTTTTGCTTGTGCTTAGTAATCCTCACCCCACCATGTCTAAGCAGCATAAAGATACAG